ATCACAATTAGCATCAAACCATGCTGTTAAAGTAGATTTTTGGTTTTGTGCTCGTCGAGCAACATTGACCAAAGATTTATTATCAGTAAAAGTAACTAAATGTTGACCAGGAAGATGAACAACTAAATGTATAACATCAGGAGCTTCATCATGCATTTTATAATGCATAATACGCCAAATAGACTCATGTGCTAATACATAACGTGCATCAATATATTGATGAATCTCATTCACAGTATTATCATTATTAAGTGCTATTGTTGCACGATCATGACCCTTGTATATATATTTAAATAAATATTTAATAGCATGTATTGAAGAACAAATTTTGACATTAATATGACAGTTAAATTTTTTGCAGAGATATAAATTATAAGATACAACCCATCCATTATCAAGATCAACTTCTTTAACTTTAATATTTCAACCATTTTGACATCAGTGATATATAGGATAACCATCTTCATTTTGACTGGTTACTGCTTGAAAAGGCTTTGGATACCTTTTGAACATTTGCTATCTTGTATATAAGGTGCATACATATTATAATTTCTACATGGTCTATGCATCATACATTGTATTACAGTTGCATACTCATGTGGAAGATTAGTAGGATCTGTGATTTCTGCTGATATAATACAATCATAATCTTCTGTTATACATAGTTTGCAATCAGGTAATAATATAATTAATATGTGTGCATGTAAAAAACCACATTTTTGGGATTCAATAATATAAATATAAGCAAGAGTTTTACCAAAAATACTATTTTTAATAATATCTTTAAGAAGAGCTTTTAATTTTAATCAAAATATGCGAGCATAAATATCTGGGTGATCTTGAGAAGTTTGTTCTGATAATAAAGATAACTAAATTTCTGGCCAGTTTGGATTGCACATTATTGTAATAAATAAATTTGGCTTGCTCATCTGTCCAACAATAGCCATTGCATCTTGATATAACTGGTGCATGTGGCGAGAACCACCAACAAAACTGGAAGGAAGTACAATTTGATGATCAATTTGAGATTCAGTTTGAGGTATTTCGTCATGAACAGAAAGTGCATCCTGTAGCCCACTATATAACTCAGCACAGATCTTTTTTTATTATGTTTTAAGTAATTAAGATGATTTTGTTCAATACATGCATATATATCAACTATATATTGTTGAAACAGATGCCCACTTCTATGTAATACAAATGATTCTGTTGGACTATAATGTCTTAATTGCAAACAATAAGCATAATATTGCATTATCGTAACATAACAATCTTCAGTATTTGAATTGATATTTCCTTGACAACCTATATTATTTGTAAGAATATAAGGATGCCAACCTGAATCTCCATATAGAAAAAGTAATACATAATGTAATAGAATATAAGAAGGATGTATTTAAAAGACTAATTTCATAACTCTCTCTGTAGATCACTTGTTTCAAATTTTGCTAAAAAACATTTGACTTTTTCTCAATTTTTTACTATATAAACTTTTCTTGTGCTCTTAAATAAAGTTATCCAGCTTACTTTTTTCATCCTAGAGGCTAAGTTTTAAGATTCAATAATACTTGGCCACTAAGAAAAGTTGGAAAAATCAAAATTTTGGTTTTTGCTTATTATCTAATTAATTTATTAACTAAACTGATACTGCTTATTAGTAGACAAATACTCAGCTCCTTGAGACGGTCATTTTGATATATAATTTACTTTAAACAGACAAAAACTCAGCATGTTACCTCCAAAGGTTAAAAACTAAAACCTATCTTTGCAGGTTTTTTTACTGGCATTTAGGAAAATCTATTGGGTTGCCCCAGAAAATTCACTTTTCTTGTACCCATTAACTTTTCCTAAACATCCAATAAGCCTCTACAAAGATCCCACACTTCTCAGAAATCTCCTAGCTTGCCTAGAAACCTCTAAATATTAAAAATTTCTTTGGAAAACACATTATACAAAAGCTCTTCCTTCTAATTTTTTTTCACCTAAAGTACTCCAAAGTCATGCCAAGTCTTACTAACACTGAACCTGACTCCTTCAACCTAGACGATCTTCACTCCAAGTATGATAACAAACAAGGAGTCGCTACCTATGACAAAAATTGTAAATCATTAAAAGTTTTACCAATCAATTTCAATCCTACATCTCTCTTACTAACGTCAAAAGATCAATTTTCAACCCAGACACAATATCATCCATCCCTTTCCTAACTGTTACAACAATATTCACAAAAATCCAAATAACCCAATCTCTTTTATTGAATTCTCACATCATGCTCATACTTGCATAATCTGCAAAGTTAAAAGTATACCATGCATTATGCTTAAGGATGACAACCACTTTTTAGACCCTAAAGCCCTCATTTTTAAAACACAGGAAGGTGGCTTTCCAGCACATTTCCAATGTATTCACAACCTTAAACTTAAACTTTCTACCCCTACAACCTTCATGAATATGGAACATTGCAATTTATACTACTTAATCAAATGCCTTTTAATGTCAACAGAAGACAAACACATCCTCTTTAAAAAATTTTTAACTTATCTACCCAAGAAAAACACACTTACCAAGGACCAAAAGAATGACAATAATCTACCCAAAAATAAAAAAGGCAAAGGAAAACAAGAAGAAGACCAAAAACAACTAGACCAAAAAGAAAGCTCCAACAAAGAATCCAAGCAGAAATGTGACACCTCCAAAAACTTTGATTGGTTTAAAAATTATCCTGTTACTTCATCTATGCAATAACATAATAAACTCAACACCCCACTAGCTCAACAAGTTTTCTCTCTTCTAAAATCACATCTTAAAGACTTTATCCCAGAACAAGTTATTTCAGATAAATCCAATAATACTCAAACCAAAGAAAGGAAATATCCATTTAATTATATTCTTAACAAAATGGCAGACAGCAAACCAAAATTTCTAACAGAATTTATTATAAATGCGAATCCCAACTTTGATCAATCCAAACCAATCCCTTTCAAGGCTTACAGTGAAACTCTGAAAGGCCTACTTTCAAAATTTACAACTGTCTTCTTCACTCAACTTGATTATCTACATATCCTTTGTTCACACTATTCTATTCCACCTTACTCAATTACTAACAGATGCAGAACTGCTATTAACATAGCTCGTTTATACCTCTATCTTAACCATACATACAAAACTAT